AGATAAGATGGAACCAACGCGGGGAAAATTCGAGATTGAGAAGTTCGATGGGAAAGGGGATTTTGGACTATGGAAATTCAAGATGATGGCTCAACTTGAGATACAAGGTTTACTGTCAGTTCTAAAGGAAGAAACTACTTCGGAGGATGACACAGATAAGAAAGATGAGGAGGAAGCTGATGTGAAGAAAGATTCTAAGCAAGCCGAGAAAGACTTGCGAGTGCGAAGCTTGTTCAGTATTAGTCTCAGTGACGTGATTCTGCGCAAGATCATGAACGAAACCACTGCGCTAGGCATGTGGAAGGCACTGGAGAGGGACTATCAAACCAAGTCTCTACCAAATAGGATCTTTCTCAAAAAGAAGTTCTCATGTTACAGGATGGAGGAGGACAAGTCAATGGAAGAGAGTTTTGATATATTTTTGAAGCTTGTGGCTGATTTAGCAAGCATCAAGATCAATATATCAGACGAAGATCAGGCCATTCAGCTATTGTCAGGTTTACCTTCAGCGTATGAGCCTTTGGTTCACACTCTGCAATATGGCACTGGAAAGGATACACTCACAGTAAATGAGGTCATAACTGCGGTATACTCAAAGGAGGCTGAATTGAAGCAGAAGGGTCTTACTACTAGAGGGAAGCAGTCAGAGGGATTATACACAGAATCTAGAGGCAGGTCTTCTTCCAGAAACGATCCAAGTGGAAGCAAGACTTGGAACAATAAGAATAAAGGAAGGTTTAGATCAAAGTCTAGAGGTAAAACGAGTTCTAAACAGGACAAATCTTGCTGGGTATGCGGAAGTGATGAACACTGGAAGAGAGAATGTCCAGAGAGGAAGTCAACATCACAACATGGAAAACAAGGCAGCTCAGCTAACATGGCAGCGAACCTACCAGGACCCCTCGTTCTGACAGCAAGCTTAACAGTCTCAAGGGAGGAGTGGGTCTTGGATTCTGGCTGTACGTTCCATATCATACCACGAAGGGATCTACTATCTAATTTTGTGGAGTTCGAAGGGAACAAGGTTATGATGGGAAACAACTCGTTCTGTATGGTGAAAGGCATGGGTAATATCACCATAGACAATCATGACGGCTCTACTGTGGTTCTAAATGAAGTAAGATACATGCCAGAGATGGGAAGAAACTTAATATCCTATGGACAACTCGAGAAGTCAGGTTGCACGTATAGTGGAAAAGACTATGAAGTTGTATTCTTCAAAGGAAAGAAGCAAGTTCTGGCAGGGAAATACAACAACGGACTGTACTACTTACAGGGTACCGTAAGGAGTCCAGAGGCAAATACAGCAACAGCAAACACAGATCATACACGAAGGTGGCACAAGCGTCTGGCTCACATGAACATTCGTTCAATGGAAACTCTTGTGAGAAAGGGACTCATAAGAAAGGAAGAAGTTGGGAAACTGGACTTCTGCGAAGGATGTGCTATGGGAAAGGCACATAAACAAAAATTTCCTAAAGCAAAACATACAACCAAAGGAGTTCTAGACTACGTTCACTCAGATCTTTGGGGATCTCCAAACACAGTTTCGAGCTTATCAGGGGCTCATTATTTTCTCACTCTTACTGATGATTATTCGAAAAAGGTTTGGATATTTTTCTTAAAATCTAAGGATGAAGTATTTTCTTGTTTTGCAGAGTGGAAGAAACTCGTAGAAAATCAGACAGGAAGGAGGATCAAATATCTCAGAACGGATAATGGGTTGGAGTTTTGCAATCGAAAGTTTGATCAGTTGTGCAGAGAGTCAGGGATAAAAAGGCATACGACGTGTGCGTACACTCCTCAACAGAACGGAGTATCGGAAAGGATGAACAGGACGATAATGGATAAGGTAAGAGCCATGCTTCAGGAAACAGGGTTAGATGGAAGCTACTGGGCAGAAGCAGCCTCCACTGCAGTATACTTAATAAATAGGTCTCCAAACGCCTCTATTAAGTTTGAAATCCCAGAAGCAAGGTGGACAGGTCATGATCCAGACTACAAGCATCTAAGGAGTTTCGGCTGTATAGCCTATGTTCATCAAGTTCGGGAGAAAACAAGCCCAAGAGCAGCTAAAGGCATTTTCTTAGGCTACGCGGATGGCACCAAAGGATACAGAGTTTGGTTAATCGAAGAACAGAAACTGGTAATCAGTAAAGATGTGGTCTTTAACGAGGATAAGGTATATAAGGATCTTGAGACAGAAAAATCAGCTGAACCTGACAACCGTGTGGTGCAAGTTACTAAGAAAAGAGTTACGTTCAACAGTATAATTGAAGATGTCTGTGAAGGGGAAGGCTCTGGTTTGGGTGGAGGATCTGAGGTAAGTCAAGATCAAACACATGAAACTACAGAGGAAGCTACTGAGAACACGACTTCAGAACATGAAACAGAAATTGAGCAGGCTGAGGACTTGGGAAGCTACATGCTTGCAAGAGACAGGGTAAGAAGAACGATAAAGCCTCCTTCTAAGTTTGAGGATGCAGACTTCTTGGCTTACGCTTTATCGAGCTCTGAAGACATTGAGGTTGAAGAGCCTAAGAGTTATAAGGAAGCTATGCGCAGTAAGGATAAAAAGCTTTGGGCAGGAGCGTCTGATGAAGAAATGGATTCACTGGAGAAGAATAAGACTTGGGAATATGTTGAGAGACCTAAGGGACACAAAGTAATAGGAAACAAGTGGATTTACAAGCTAAAGCCAGGAATCCCAGGAGAGAATCAACCACCAAGATATAAGGGAAGGCTGGTAGCTAAAGGATATGCGCAAATAGAGGGTATAGACTATAACGAGGTATTTGCACCTGTAGTCAAGCATGTGTCAATACGACTACTCTTGTCTGCCGTAGTTCACTTCAATCTAGAGTTAGAACAGCTTGACGTTAAAACAGCTTTTCTTCACGGTGTTCTTAAGGAACGGGTTTACATGGAACAGCCGGAGGGTTATGTCGTAAAAGGCAAAGAAAAGATGGTGTGTTTACTGAAGAAATCTCTCTACGGGCTGAAGCAATCCCCGAGAGAGTGGAACCATCGTTTTCACACGTTCATGGTGGAGCAACGATACGTACGGAGTGAGTATGACCCTTGCGTGTACATGAAAGGGAAGGACGTGAGGGATATGGTCTACCTATTACTCTATGTGGATGATATGCTAATAGCCTCTAAGGATATTGACACGATTCAAGTGCTAAAGAGTCAGCTAAGTAAGGAGTTCGAAATGAAAGATTTGGGTCAAGCTAGAAGAATATTGGGGATGGACATCAAGCGAGACAGATCAAAGGGGACTCTGATCTTGTCTCAGAATGAGTACTTGGCTAAAGTCTTAAAGACATTTGGTATGGGAGATTGTAAGGCAGTAAGTACTCCTCTCGGGTCTCAATTTAAACTTCAAAGTTTAACTAAAGAAGAGGAGATACAGCAAGCAAGGATTATGGAAGACATACCGTACACAAGTGCTGTGGGCAGTTTGATGTACGTCATGGTAGGATCAAGGCCAGACTTGGCGTATGCAGTCGGAGTAGTCTGTAGGTATATGAGTAAGCCTGGCACAGAACACTGGTTAGCAGTCAAGTGGATAATGAGATATGTAAAAGGAGCTTTGGGTGTGAATTTAACTTTCAGTAGAGGAGAGGACTTCAAGGTGAGAGGTTACTGTGATTCGGACTATGCCTCTGATCTGGATAAAAGTAGGTCAATCACGGGCTACGTCTTCACAGTAGGTGGTAACACGGTTAGCTGGAGGTCATCGCTGCAAAAGGTTGTTGCTTTGTCAACGACAGAAGCGGAGTACATGGCTTTGTCAGATTCTGTCAAGGAAGGTTTGTGGCTTAAAGGGATATGCGAAGAAATGAAGCTGAGCACAGGTGAGGTGGAGGTTTATTGCGACTCTCAGAGTGCTATATACCTAGCCAAAAATTTCGTATATAGAGAGAAGACGAAGCACATCAAGACGAAATATAATTTTATCAGGGAAGTGATTGCAGACGGTGATGTCAGAGTGGTAAAGATTCATACCTCGGTAAATCCCGCGGATATGCTGACAAAGACGTTGCCAGGTGAGAAGTTTGAAGGGTGCTTAGCGAAGCTAGGCGTCAAAGAAGCTTAGTTTTGAGTGGAACTCGATCGTCTTTGGAACTGAGAAGACGGTGGTATGAGTTGGTGAGTCTCGGAAGTCAGAAGGGACAAAGGATTAAGGAAGTGGATTCAAAGTGAGGACAAATGAATCCGATGGAAGGCCAGGATCGGCGGAGGACACGACTGTTAGCTTCGTGTCGGAAAAGTTCTCTAGCTCAGACAGTTTTCCAAGGTGGAGATTGTGAGATTGGCAAACGGGCTGAGCTTATGTTTGAGTAATGGGCTTCACGATTGGGCCTGTTTTCTGCGTTATCCGCAAAAGGTCCAGTTAGCGTTTGGTTACTATAAAAGGAGAAGCAGAGGATAACACCTCCGTAACAACCTTCTTCTTCTTATGTACCTGAAACGGAAAATTACCATAAGTGTATCTTGAAGCTTGTAACTACTCAGAGATTAGTAGATTACCAGGTGCCGATCCTGAAGGAGATGTACTGAGTCAATTTGGCCAGGAACTCTAAAACTCTCGCTGTGTCTTTGCTTTTCTTTCGTTTTCTATCCTTGAATTGAGTGTGGAGTCGCGATCTATATTCAGAGAGAGAGAGAGTTAAACGAGAGAGAGAGAGTAACACCAAACAGAGAGTTTACGTAGGATCAACGATTGATCTAGAGAGGATTCTTTAACACACGACAATTTAGTTCATGCATACAATTCCAAGTGGTCTAGGACCTGAAACATGAACGCTAGCTCGTAATATACAAATTAGATCAGGTATTATTATTCAGTCCCTCGAGATTCCTTCGTATCCAATAAAATCAACGTTTCTTGGTCCCTACGATACCCTTTCTTTAGCTATACAAATCCAAATTCGAGATCAGACGCATATATCGATGTCCTCATATCAAGAATCAGTCAATTAAGCTCAAGTTACATGGCTGAGTATCTGGCAAAGAAAAACCCTAATTCAAAGACCCGAATTAGCATCACAACCAAATGCTCTTCGTTGTTGAAACAACACCGTACCCGTCTCTCTATACTCCGGCGTTGTGCCAGTGCCACCATGCTGTACACTACATTTTATAGACCTACAAGTATAACGAGGGTATAAATGTAAATGAGTGTATAGATACCCATACCCTGAAAGAGAGAGGTCAAAGGAGGAGTAAAACGCACCGTTTCACTTGAGGCGATTTCTAAGGCGATTTTGACGACGATTTTGAGTCTAGGGATTCCGATGGATTCGGCTACCTTGCCGAGCTCATCTGAGCCACCGGAGAAGGATTGCAAGGTTCGGGATGTAGAGATTGCTTCGGGAGTTGTGAAGGATTTGGATCTGAAGAAGGATGATAAAACATGGGTTTCGAAAGTGAAGGATAAGAGAGTTCTAACAAAGTATGAGGTAGAGATAACATCAATTGAAGGTAAGAATAAGGTACAGTTTCCAGATGAGATTATTTCTGATTCAACGCCGTTGTGGGAGGATTTTGTAGTGGGGAAATTTCTGGATAATGCGTCGCATATAGCCAAGGTGCATATGGTGGTGAATAAGATCTGGAGCTATGGTGATGTTAATGCTAGAGTTGAGGTGTATGATGTGAATCCGAGAATGATGAGATTTAGGATTGTGAATCAGAAAGCTCGCGAAAAGGTTATCAAGAGAGGTATGTGGAATATAGCTGGTGTTCCAATGATAGTGTCGAAATGGACTCCAACTACTGAAAATGAGAAGCAGGAGGAAGTGGCTGTTCCGATGTGGGTTCACCTGAGGAAGATTCCACTTAATACCTTCACATGGGAGGCGTTAAGTTTCATGACAAGTACAGTTGGGTTTCCTGTTCGTTTGCATCCAGAGACTCTAGCGTGTTCAGACTTTGAAGAAGCTAAAGTTTTTGTAAATGTGGACGTCTCGAAGACTTTACCGAAGGGAATTGAGTTCACAATGGGAGGTAAGGAGTTCACAGCAGAATTCTATTACCCGTGGCTACCGTCTCGTTGTACTTTGTGCGAGAAATGGGGACATTCTGAGAAAGTATGTGGGATGAAGAAGAAAGATAAGAAGAGTGAGGAGGTTAGTGCTGATAAGGAGTCTCGGGGGCTAGAAGGAGGAAAGGAAAAAGGGTTAAGTAAGGAGGATGTGTTAAAAGTTCAGGAGGGAAATACTATGGTTAAGGTTACAAGTGAAGATAATGATGCGGAGAAGGTGATCTCTACAGAGAAAGTGAATGATTGGGCACGAGTTTCTGCAGATAAAATAGGGAGATCTTACTCTAAATCTCCGAATAGAGATAATACGGAAGTTCAAATTTCTGCATCTAAGTACTCGGTTTTAGCTACTGAAGATGTAGAGGTGGATGATAATGATAGACAAGATGAGGAGGATGAGGAGAACGATGTAGAAGTGAAAGCTGATATTTTGGAAGGAGAAATATTGGAAGATGAGATACTGGAAAAGCAAGTTAGAGATAAAAATAAAGCAGTAATGCAAAAAGGAGGGAAGAGAATTCAGAAGACCATAACTCAAGAGGCTCAGCCGAAGGGTCAAAAGGTCTTCTAGACGTAAATTCTAATTATGGGAAGTTTCTTTTGGAATGTTCGTGGTTTCAACAAAGATCTAAAACATTCCGTGGTGACAGATTGGTTAAAAGATAAGCAGTTGGAGTTTGGCTGTATATTGGAAACGAGGGTTAAAGAAAGTAGGGCTGAGAAAATTTTGAGTAAGGTTTTTAGTGGCTGGTCTTCTATCACAAATTATGAGGATAGTCAAGGAGGTCGTATATGGCTACTTTGGAGAGATACGGTTCGTATGACGCCTGTCTTTAAGTCGGATCAGGTGGTAACATGTCTGGTGGAGTTAAAGGGTGAAGAGGGGTTTTATTGTTCTTGTGTTTATGCGAGTAACCAAGTAGAGGGAAGGAAATGTTTGTGGGAGGATTTGCTTTATCACCATAATTCTCCGTGTTTTAGTAATAAAGCTTGGATGATTATGGGTGACTTTAACGAAATTTTAGATGGTGTAGAGAGTTCGAGATTTGATGATATGAATAGGATTCCGGCTGGTATGAGAGATTTTCAGAGTTTGGTGTTGCAGTGTCAACTCTCTGATATGGCTTACCAAGGTCCGGTGTTCACTTGGTGTAATAAAAGAGATGAGGGTGTCATCTGTAAGAAACTGGATAGAGTGCTGCTTAATGAGGAGGCTCTACACAGGTTTAGTAATGCATATTCTGTCTTTGAAGCTGGGGGATGCTCTGACCACTTGAGGTGTAAAATTCAGCTGTTCCCTCCCAATGAGAGAATAAAAAGACCTTTTAAGTACATTAATGCTATTGGTACTTTTCCTGAATTTCTTCCTATGGTGCAGAGGTATTGGGAAACGACTGGGAGTTTATTTCATTCTACTTCAGCGATGTTCCGTTTTTCTAAGAAGTTAAAGGGTTTGAAAGTGTTAATTCGTGAGTTGGGTAGAGAGAAGTTGGATAATTTAACCAAGAGAACTAAGGAGGCTTTTGATTTGTTATGTGAGAAGCAGTGTGTCACTCTTGCTAACCCATCTGACACTGCTGTTCAAGAGGAAGCAGTTGCTTATAGTAAATGGCTTCATATTGCTAGTTTGGAGGAAGATTTTCTGAAGCAAAGGGCTAAACTTCACTGGCTGGAGATTGGAGATCAGAAAAATAAGACTTTCCATCGAGCAATAAAAACTCGACAGGCTCAAAATCTTATCAGAGAAATAAAAGGTATGGATGGTAGTGTGGTGAATAATCACTCTGGGATAAAAAGTGAGGCAGTAAGATTTTTCTTCGACTTTCTCAATAAGGTGCCAGTGAATTATAAAGGAGTTTCTGAGGAAGAGTTACAAGAGTTAATTAAATTTCGCTGTACTCCTGAGGATTGTAGTCTTTTGGAAGCAGAAGCTACTGAAGAGGAGATTAGAAATGTTCTTTTTGCTATGCCTAGCAACAAATCTCCTGGACCAGATGGATACCCCTGTGAGTTTTTCAAAACAACTTGGTCGATTCTCTCAAAAGACTTCATTGTAGCTGTGCAATCGGTATTTAAGTTTGGGTTTTTACCGAAGGGTGTCAATTCTACCATATTAGCGTTAATTCCCAAGAAGATTGACTCAATGGAGATGAGAGACTATAGGCCAATTGCTTGTTGCAATGTGCTCTATAAAGTTGTCTCTAAAATTCTCGCTAATAGGTTGAAGAAGTTGCTTCCCGAGATTATCAATGAGACTCAATCTGCTTTTGTTCAAGGCAGGTTATTAATGGAGAATGTTCTTCTTGCCTCAGAAGTTGTTAAAAGTTATCATAAGGAAACGGTTTCTCCTAGATGTGTGATGAAGTTGGATATTTCAAAAGCGTTTGACTCGGTACAATGGAGTTTTGTTTTGAAGAGTTTGGCAGTTCTGGGGTTTCCTGCGAAGTTCATCCATTGGATTGATCTCTGTATTTCCTCTCCATCCTTCTCAGTACAAGTAAACGGTGACCTTGCGGGGTACTTCCAAAGCTCAAGAGGACTTAGGCAAGGTTGCTCCCTATCGCCTTATCTATTTGTACTTTGTATGAATGTTCTTTCCCTGAAGATTGATAAAGCTGTTGTGGAGAGGAAATTTAAGTTTCATCCTGGATGCAAGAGTTTGTCTCTTACGCACCTTTGTTTCGCCGATGATCTGATGATTTTTGTTGAAGGGTCTAAGAGATCTATTGAGGGAGCTCTATCAGTTTTTGATGTGTTTGAAAGCTGGTCAGGGTTGTCTATTAGTTTGGAGAAGTCTACGATCTTCATGGCTGGAATTCCGGAGGCAGAGAAAAGAGGTATCCTAACCAATTTTCCCTTTGCTGTTGGTGATCTTCCTGTGAGGTATCTGGGGCTACCTTTAATGACGCAGTCTATGAGAAGACAGGACTATCTTCCCCTTCTTGAGAGAATTCGAAGCAAGATTTGTTCATGGACGTGCAGATTCTTGTCTTATGCAGGTAGATTGCAACTGATAAATTCAGAGATTATGGGCATTGTCAACTTCTGGGCGTCTGTGTTCCGTCTTCCTAGCTCATGTGTTAAAGAAGTGGAGCAAATATGTGCAGCTTTTCTTTGGACAGGTCCAGTTCTAAAGTCTACAAATGCAAAAATTGCCTGGTATGATATCTGCACTATGAAGAGTGAAGGAGGTTTGGGTATAAGAAAGCTGAAAGAGGTAAATAAAGTTTATGGACTAAAATTGATTTGGAGAATGTTATCCGGTGACTCATTATGGGGTAAATGGATAAAAGTAAATAGTGCAATGCTCAAAGTGATTTGGAGAATGTTATCCTGCTTATTTGCTTCAAAAGTTAATTAGACCACCCACAATAGAAGTGTTGAAAATAGTGCAATGAATGTGTTAATAAATTGGGTTTATCTTAGTGTCTTCAACATTTTTTGTAAAGTTTTAACAGCTGAAAAAAAAAATTTTGGGTCCAATTCTGCTAGTGGCGCTTATAAGTGAATATACATATTGCTTCTAATTTTTATTCTCACCTAATAGTTCAAACGCTTTTATATATAATAAAATGTTTTTAAAAATATTAAAAATTATATCAAAATTCAAGATTTTTTTTATCTATAAATAGAGACCACTCTCATTTCATTTGAATACATAAAAAGATGTAAACTTTTCTTTATAATAAACTATTTTAGTGTTTAAACTTTTTTTTATTAAATAGATTCCAATTATAATCCTTTTAACAACCAAAATCTTCTAGTTTTTAAAAGTTATTAATATGTAATTTGTTATGTTTTAAAAAAAAAAGAATTAAAATTATAAGGTAGGATGTTGAACTTTTTAAAACAAAATCATTGTAGATGTTTATAATAAAATGGATGTTGAATAAATAAAATTAAAAAAATGACGTGGAATATTAAAAATAGAAAATAAGGGTGTTGATACGAAAAAAGTTTATTGGAGAAAAATTTCATCCAAATGTTCCGCCAACTTGGTTGACATGTTTTGGCTGGCCATATTCTAATAAGATCATGAAGACATAGAGTATAACTAGAGTTTGTTGTTAAGTTTTTTTTTTTTTTTTAAAATTTTTGGAGGTATCCTAGATCCATGAAGAGACTCAGACTAATCTCCAAAGGAGTGGTGTAATCCACGGATGGACTCTCACTCCGAGTATTCAAATGGGCCGTAAGATAGGCCCATATCCGCGTGGCCACAAGATAAAATATAGTGGGGTGCCTTTGAACTCGGGTTGTTTAGCTAATCCCAAAGCTCGTCTACCACTAGACCACCATCTTGTGGTTAAATTTTTTGTTAATCTTATTCTAAATCACATATTATATCTCTTGGTCTCTAGCTCCCTTTGTATCATGTGCTTCAAGTTTATAATTTCTCGTTTTTTTTTACTTTGTAATAAAATGTACTATAGCCGATAAGATATTCTGTTAGATTCGGGTTTATTATGAGCTTCCAACTTAAAACCAATTGGTGATAAGTGGATTGACCCTAACCCTTTATATATTACTTAAGGTCCCTTTGATTTCCCGATGTGGGATATATTATCCATAATACCCCTCCTCCAGATGATGGCTCTTATGGCTCTTATCGGCCAGAAATCTCGAAACTTTAAGATAGTTATACTCGGTCGAGCGAGTCAAATACGACAATTATACCTAGCCGGAAGGTTAAACACGACCTATATACCCGGTCGGAAGGGTAATTAATTAATTAGGAGTTTAGGGCCTTTTTTCTTTAGGATCTGGGCTCTGATACCATGTTAGATTCAGGTTTATTATGTGCTTCCAACTTAAAACCAATTGGTGATAAGTGGATTGACCCTAACCCTTTATATATTACTTAAAGTCCCTTTGTTTATCAGTTGTTGAACGATATTCCATTGCTCATCTGTAATGCCACAGAGACCTTGACGATCTTCATCTGTGATTGTTATATTTGCTTGAATCTTCGGTGTAGTTGTTTTGTTGATAGCGACTGTATTAGCTTTTGGCATGACAATACGATCCTGTGTGTTGGTGTTTGTTGTTTTGCGGTTGTTGTTTCTGTTTTTCGATTTGTTGTCTTCCCACCAATCTGGATAACCGATAACTGTAAAGCATCCCGAAGCTTTGTGTCCTGTACGACCACGCTCGGTGCATTGACGAGTTGGATCTTTGTTGACAGGACGAGTAATGTCCCTTGTGAATGTTGTATTTGGCCGTGAGTTGTTAGTTGTCCGAGTTTGAGACGCAAAGCTCATAACTGCAGGTTCTGTTTTGATTGTCGACTTGATAATTTCGTTTTGAGAGATTGTTTGATAGACGATATCAAGATCAGGGAGTGGAGAGATTGCACAGATTTGAGGTCGTATGACGCCATGTATGGGATCATCAAGACCGGCTAAGAAATCATGAATCTTCAAGGTTTCTGCTTCTTGTTCTTTTGCTGAATTCAGATCGCATTCACACTTACCACAGCTACATTGTTTGGAGTTCATACATTCAGCAATCCCATCCCAAAGTTTGGTGAGACGGCCAAAGTATTCGTCTACGCTATCTCCATCTTGCTTGCAGTTGGCGAGTGCAATACATAGTTGTTGAAGCTTTGCTCCGCTTTTAACGGAATAACGCTTCTTGATTATATCCCATAAATCTTTTGCGATCTCCCGAGTTGAAATAGAAGATTTGATTTTTGGTTCAATGGTTTGTTTTATCCATCCTACAAGAAGATGATTGTTAGCAATCCAGTCTTCAAGATACGATGAATCGGCTGCCGGTTAGGAAGACTGCCGTCGAGAAATCCGAATTTCTTTCGTGAGCTAATAGCCATACGAAATTTGATTGCCCATTCATCATAATTCGATCCATTGAGAAGCGGTTGTGAAATAACAGCTCCAGGATTGTCATTAGATGATAGGTCGTATGGAGAGATCTTTTTATATTTGACGTCGCTAGCTGCTGTAGTTATCGACATTGTTGATGTAGTTGATGATTGAAAAACTTCTGCTTTGAATCGTAAAGCACAAGATTAGAATGAAAAAGCCTGCAGTTTTTGCAAGAGTTTTAGGTTTTGAAATTTTAGGTTTGTTTAGGCGCTGATACCAATATCACATGTTTAATAAAATGATCAGCAGCTGATGAACACTTAATCTCAGGAATCATGCTGGTAATACGAGATGATGGATGTCCAAGACGACGATGCCACAAAACTGAATCTTCACGTACAGTAGTATGGAGCGACACGAATGACTCTATCTCTCGAAACAGGTACAATCCCTCTCCCTCTCTTTCACCCGCTTTAATCAACATCCTCGAGGTACGGTCCTGTAAAATCATAAGTTTATCAGTAACTTGGCCAACAAGATAGTTGTCAGTAACAAATTGGCCAAACGAGATGAGGTTAGTGTGGAAGCCGTTCACATAATACACATTGTGAATGTGTAATGTCGGTGTTAATTTAACCGTTCCTTGCTTGGAAGCAAAGGCTTCAGACCCTGCAGGTAAAAGAACTGGGATAGGCGTAATATCACGAGTATTCTCCATTAACGGTCCGGTTCTTTCTAGATATAGCAGCAAAACTGAAGCATGAAATTCATCAAATGGACGCTCATAACGCCTTTCTTCATGGAGATCTACTTGAAGAAGTATATATGAGAATTCCTCAAGGTTTTTCTAAGCCCAATGATACTCGAGTTTGCCGCCTACGGAAGTCATTGTATGGCTTAAAACAAGCACCTCGTTGCTGGTTTGCAAAATTAGTTGAAGCTCTCTTGACATATCGTTTCGGTTAGACACATTCTGATCACTCCCTTCTCATTTATCTTCGCAACAATACTACACTACGAATTCTTGTCTACGTTGATGACCTGATTATCTCCGGTGACTCGTCTGATGCAATTCTAGCATTTAAAGCATATTTGTCCACTTGCTTTAAAATGAAGGATTTGGGAGCACTCAAGTATTTCCTTGGTTTAGAAGTCGCTAAAGGTGATCAAGGTATATACTTATGCCAGAGAAAATACATTCTTGATATAATTACAGAGTGTGGTTTGCTTGGATGTAAACCAGCTGGATCACCTATGGACCAAAACCATAAGCTTGCAAAAGCTGATGGATCGTTTCTTGCGGATCCAGAACAGTATCGTCGTCTTACTGGCCGGCTTATCTACCTTCTTGCTACTAGACCGGACCTCGCTTATTCAGTTCATAAACTCACTCAGTTCATGCAGTCACCACGTGAAGAACATTGGCTTGCGGCTTTAAAGGTTGTTCGTTACTTAAAAGGAACTGTGGGCCAAGGTATTCTTTTTCGCGCCAACACTTCGCTTTCGATCACTGGCTGGTGCGACGCGGATTGGGGTGCATGCCCTCTGTCCCGCAGGTCGTTATCCGGCTGGATAATACAGTTTGGGACTTCTCCCGTGTGTTGGAAAACAAAGAAACAAGATGTTGTTTCTCTTTCATCAACAGAAGCTGAGTTTCGAGCAATGACGGTTATAACAAAAGAACTAATTTGGTATCAGAGCCTAAACAAACCTAAAATCCCTAGATTTGTCATGATTCCACAAATTTAACTTTCTAGACTTCAGTTGTCAAAATCACAAAAGTGACGCTTTTTGAAAAGAATTAAGAGAAGTTATGGCCTCAAATTTTAAAATAGTATTCTTTCATCAAAATTATTGATTGTCAAATTACCAAACTAATTACAGTTCTCTTGCAGCGTGTTTTCCAAATAGCACCAACACGAGAACTTAAGCTCCTTAAGACATCAGTTTACCTTGAAAGTCCAAATTAACAGCGAACCTCTCTGTTTCTCTCCGTCTCTGCTTCTATCCATTGATGTTTGTTTAGGTATGTCTCAGCTTCTCACCTTTCCTTTGCTTCCTCTTTCTCGTGCGTCCATACCACTCTTTGTTTTTTCTCTCGTTTTTTTTCTTCTTTGGTAACTATGCACACCAAGTGTTCGTTTATATGCCGCTTACAAAACCAGCTTCGATTTCATAATCGTATTCTATGATAATTATAGCTCTAGGGAGAAATCTAATGAAACCCAGTTTGATTTCTGAAAAAAAAATGTTAAAAAATAATAGATATTTTTTTTTTACAGCATTAAAAAAAAAATTATGTGGTTCGAGCATGTTTTTCAGACACATCCATTAATAAACGGATTATCCACACTCGCAGCAGTTCCTCCCCCTGTCGGCCAACCGCTCTCCAACACCACGACCCTATCTGAACTTGCTCCTGATTCCGCGTAAACAGTGTCTAGGAATGCGTGGAAGAGGTTTCAGTGTGAGTTTGACCCGTCTTTGACTACAGTATCATTTGAAGTTAACAAAGCATACTCCAAACTCACTTCATTAATGTTGTTAACGTATATGAAGTAAGTGTAGATATACACGAGCAGAGGAGATTTCTTGCGTACCGAGAAAGCTATCACCGGCGCAATAAAGTCTCAAAAAATCCGATGTGAACGAACCGGTCGAGGGCGGAAACCCACTAAGGCCTCTGGTGTCTATAGCTGTGGAGACCTTGATCCCGAGGTCTGAAACAGCTCTCTTGATATTCTGCATCGCAGGGAGGACAAATATCGCAGCTGTGTCAGGGGGTTCCACCTCGTTACCAACCGACATGTAGCGGAACTTCATACCGTTTGCGTAGTTGCGGACCCATGTGTCTGCTTCTGATTGGTTGGAGGCGACAAGCCCGTGATGGCGTATCATCTTCTTCTAAAGTAGAAGCCTCCTAGGTTGCATCGAATCGGAAACGGATGTGGGAGTCGATTTCACCCTACTGTCAAATAAATCGTAAATAAGGAAACTTCGGGAAAAACCCTAAGTTTCCAGAGGAACCGGCTATCTGCGAGAACCGCACAACGAAAATAAGAAAACGATAACTTAGAATTAAAACGAGAATAAACGAAAAACAAAGAGAGCAAAGAGTTTCTTATTCCGAATCTGCGTAGAACT